GTTGGTTGGGGTCACTGTTTGAAAATTTTCATCATAACCTGATGGGTATCCATAATTACTAGTATTTTCGTAATTTTGGTTATAGGGATTGTTATTGTCATAGTCATTTTCTTCAAATGAAATTTGGTTATCATCAGAATCGGGGTAATATTGTTGTTCGGAATATTGATTCTGAAATTGGGAATAATCAATTTGATCATTGGGGTCGATTTCGGTGATATTTGGTAAGGGTTCAACAGATTGGTTGAAAAGTTCTTGTGAATTAAAATTGCGTTGGGGCGCTTGAGCGAATCGTCTTTGTATTGACCGATTGGCTGCAGTATTTATGGAAGTTGTATCCATTGGTTCCACTGTTCTGCGGGATACGCTAGAATTATTTTGGGAAACTCTAAAATTATTATTGAAATTTTGGAGGTTATTTGGGAAAGGTTTAAATTGGGCAGAATTTTGGGCATTTGTTCTAAATTGGTTGAAATTTGGGTTTCTTTGTGGGTTATAGTTTGGGTTAAAGTTATTATAGAAATTTGAATTATTATTTCTTGGTAAATTATTGTTAAAATTTGGTACATTTTGCGGACGCCCAAGTAGCACTCCCATGTAGGGTCAATATTGGGACAATAACTACGATTTATTGGCCCAAGTCAGATTCTCTATGTTGGCCCAATAAAAGATGTGGACATTCTGCTATATTTGTCCAAGAACGTATGTCAATATATACCCAAAAACAAATACCAACGTTGGTACAATAACGTAACCAAATGTTGGCCCAAAAAGAAATAATCATTATCATATCAAGAACTTTATGCAATATAGAGCCAATTGAAATTACCAATATTGGCCCGGAGACGTATGTAAATCTTGGCTTTATATTATATTTAATTAAGGTAACGGTCCAATTATAAGGACCGACTAAGAAGTGTTTTCTCTTTGCCGGACCATCCGTGGACCCGTTTCGCTGTATCACAAGTCATCAGCATGGTTAAGTCCCGCCAGGGTCCCGCAGAGAGAAAACAACCAATTTTTGGCTTCATCCTGGAACCAGGTTTAAGACAGGTAAAGTGAAGACAGTGTCTCCATCTATTTTTTGGTCGGCACACCAAGTGCGCATATTGAATACCCTATATTGGACCAACATTTTCAATTCAGAAAATCTAACCTTGGTAAAAATTAGTATGTAAATATTGGCCCTTCATTGGGCTTTTCAAAAAGTATCAATATTGCGAAAAAATTGGAAATAAATATTGGGTGTACAAAGTTTTTGAAGTGAATTTAAATATCAATAAAAAATTGAATGCCAATATTGAATTAATATTATATTACAATATTGTTTCAATAATATAAAATGTAATATTTGGCCAATATTTCATAAATCAATATTGTAGTGAGAAGTCTTGGGCCAATATTCAAATTACTGAAGAGTTAATTAATCTATGAAAACAATATTGGTACAAGATTATTTTTAAATATTGTTTCCACATAGTTAAAACTAACGTTGCCCCAATATTGGTTCTGTGTTGATTTAGCAACAAAAATGAATAAATATTGGCCCAACTCAAAAACGATGTTTACCCCATATTATGTGCTACTTGGGCGGTATGCATTAGCAGGATAATGCATTGGTCTTTTGAATTTATTCGCATTTAATTGAGAATTTGTATTATTCCCAGAAGGTGTTTGCTTATGCATAAGATTAGAACTATTTTTAAATTGAAGAAAATTTTCTTCTTCTAAAGCAAATGACATAGCTTGCTCAAGAGAGTCAGGATTTTTCAATCTAACTATCAATTGCATGTGATAGTTGAGCCCAGTAATAAAAGTTTTCATTACCAATTTACCATACTCGTCGATTTTTAATAATTTAATAGCACGAGTATCGTTAGAAACATTAACTTTTGAAAATAATAAGCTACGGGCGTCTTGCAAACGTATACCAAATTGTTGAGGATTTTCATTTTTTTCAGGTTTCATTGTAATGATGTCCTGTATAACACAATCAATTGATCTTTGATCGGAGAAAGTTGCAATAATCGCATTTTTTACTAAATCCCATGAGTTTAATTCTATTCTAGAAGCAATTAAATCTGCTGCTCTACCAACTAGTTTGCTTAAAATTGTATCGAAAAGAGCAATATTAATGGCTGCGCCAGCATTATTGGGATCGCTATGAGCTGTTAAAAAATTAGTACAAGCATTTATAAATCTATTAACTTGTTTTGGATTACCATCAAAACTAGGTATGTTATCTGCTTGATAACGAACTAGAGTATAATTTGCCATTTTTAAATTATTTTCTTAAAGAATCGAAATTAAAAATTGACAAAAACAAAAATTTTTGTTTTTGATTTTAAGAAAAATAAGTAAATAACTAAGTAATAAGGTAAAATTAGGATTTTCCTAACTTGTCAAAAACAGTGTATAGCAATAAAACAATCAGGAAAAAATAAAAAAAATGGAAACTGAAAGGATTCACTTACAGTAGCAGGAATACGATGATTTTCTTCATTCTTAACCTAAGCCCAATAGGAAAAGCGATGCTTGTCTTCTCCCTGGAACTACCTTATGAGCGTCTGGACGATTTTTGTTCCGTTTGCTCGCACCAATAGGAATAGGACGATTTTTGTTCCCGATCTCCCTGGTCTGGGTGAGCTGCGTTGCACCACTTTCGAAAATTTCGTTCGATATTGCCGTAAATCGTTGGAACGAACCGATAACTTTGTCGCACGATGCGCGAAACCGTCAACAATATCCTACCGACTGCGCCAGTTAACAACTCGAATTTTGAGAGTTAGTTTTTAAAAAAAATTATTTTCAATGGTGGTTACAATACAACTGACTTAAACCTAAGTAAAATTAATATTTATAATTATTAGCTTTGCTGACAAAGCTGTTCCCAAGAAATGCAACGGTCGGACTTGTTCTGAAAACAAAGTAACAAACTGCTGAACTCTTAAGTTTATGAGAATGTAACTGATGTTATGTTTTTATGTTTACGAAGGAAAAAACACATGACTAAGCGGTACGGTGACGCTATTGAATTATATTATGTTAATGTAAGCAGGCAGTGTGGAATTAGGCTGTGAAGGGTGCAGAATTGTGTTACGGACATTAAAAAGTATTAGTAATTCGAATTCGTGCATTTTTTGTGTTGATGAAATTACTCGTGTTTTACAGTATATATTTCAAGCAATCAGAGGGACTTCAAACTTTCAGGATTTATTGAGTAGGGCACTGGCGTAGCCAGGGGGGGGGCAAGGGGGCATTTGCCCCCCCCCAAGACCCTTAAATTTTATGAATAATTCTTCAAAATTAAAATAAACAGTCCCAAAAATAGCGTAAAAAAACCTAAAAAACGGGCGTGGCACCCAAAAATTTGGCGCCTGCGGCGCTTTACCTCCGGCAGCGGTCGCGGTGGGGCAGCAAGAAACACTTCCTACAAATTTGCCCCCCCCAAAGACAAAATCCTGGCTACGCCACTGGAGTAGGGTATGTTCATCAAACAAAGCAAACCGCGAGTGGATCTCAGCCTCAGAAATGGAATTATGATTTTTTTCTCACTTAGATGCAAAAAAAAAATAGATAATTAATTTGTGTTTAGAGAGATATTTACCTGCAAAATGAGTCAGTTTATCTAAGGACACCGTGTATAATAATATTATTGACAATAATAATAATTAATAATTTTATTGTTTTAATTATTATTTACGCGGTTGGTAGAATATTAACGGCCGGCCCTGGCTTAGAAAGTTGCAATATGAGCTTTTATGGTCCAGGGTAGCATTAAGGTTTTATTAATTGCAATCAACCTTTTAATGGCTTTTGCTCAGTTCGTATACCTACTTTTCAATTTGACGTTTGCTCCTCTGACATAGGAGATTTTCCTAACCGCTTGAAAATTTACAAACTAGTTCCAATTCACGACTGAAATTTGAACCGATCTTTTTGAGCAAGAGATTTTGTCGTCCTACCTAACAATCTGTCTTTTATATAGCTTTCAGACATAGGCATTCAAGTAGGTACCTACCTACCCTTAAAGAGTTTTTCATGTAGGTAGGTAGGTATTTTCCTAATAAAAAACAAAATTCTCTTTTTACAAAGTTCACAATTTGTGGACAACCATCAGACTTCACGTCACTAAACATTCGGTTTCAAATAATTTCAATTTTAGTTTACGACATCCTTGAAACTAAAGTGGAAATACATATACTTTTATGAGGAGTATTAATTTCCACTTTAATATCCCAGAACTCATTTGAGAGTTGACTATAATTAATTTCCTCAGCGTCGAAATTCTCAACTGAATAAGTTTTGTTAAAAAATAAAGGCCTCTAAGATAAAGCAGAAATTCAAAAGGTGTCTGGCTTTTGAAAAAATTAGGAGTTTCGCTTATAATAAAAGCTACAGCTAAATTTTGGCAGAAAAGTTTTCGATACAAATAGATGGCTTAGGAAATGTTCCCTTGCCAAGATACATGGTGTGAGATTTTCAACTATTTTTAACGGTTTCATACCTACATCTTTAAAGAAAAATCCATTAATCATATTGATAGTTTAATAGAAAAAATCACCGGGTTTCTGTGCTATAATTTATTATTTATTCCGCCAACTCTAAATACATGAATCAATATAGGTACCTATCCTAGGTCCAATAACTGTTAAAATTTATATAGGTACTAAAATATATAGACCTAGATTGGAAATATGTACGAAATAAAAAATACATAACGATATTTTGATAATTTTAATTCAAAATGAATTTGCAGAAATTCTTCTTTGTTAGAAAATTGTAAAAAAAAAAAAATTATATTTTATTTCGATTGCTTGGCTCTGTTATTAATTTGCTCCTGTTCAAATCTCTGGACTTTATGGTTTGTCAACCCAAAAATACACAATTAAGCCAAGCTTCCACTTAAAGAACCAGCACAAATTCAAAGCTAGCAAAATCCGAGAAAAGATATGTCATCTATGAATAAGATTCTTTATAAATAAACTGAAAACACTCACCTTGTTCAGCTTTCAGTGAAATAGGAAACAGGTAAAATAGCAAAGCGGCGAGAAAAAAACCAGATCCCATCTCAGCTAGAAACTCTTTATCCAAAATTTACATTGTTTACTATCGCACATGTTCATGAGAATAGTAATAAATATATTAAAAAATCTGGACCCTTCATGGTCTTAGAGTAAACCGTGAACTGAAATGACTCAAAAGAAAACAGAGGGGCCTGAAATCCTGAAAATTGACTGAAAGCGACGTTGCCGGCCGTTTCTTGGATTAGATCAGACGCATCCAGACTCCCATCCAGGATTTATTTTTGCACGAAGGGATTACCTGCTTAAAAGAAAACCATCAAACTTACTTACTTTCATTAGATTATTTTCAAACTAGTTTATTAGCTTTTGATTCATTTGGTTTAAATTTCCGTCCGTAATTTATTTTCATAGAGCTTTTTCCATAGGTAACTGAAGGACACATAATAGGTGTGTATACATCAAATTAATAGTTGAATCAAAAATCTTCCCATTTGAATCTTCTATTTTCTTTGGAACTTTCCTCGCTTTCTTTTGGATGAGGTAAAAACTTTAAAGGTGTTTTTTCCCCAGTAAAAGTATTTGAAATGAGTTGCAAAAACTAGGCTTAAGTAGGTATATTACTTATGAAAAATATTATATCTGGTTGGTTTTTGTTGAAATAATTAATTACATACCTACCTATACTTTTGGAAGATACATTAGGAGAACAGCTATTTCTAGACGCTTGCTTAAATAGCCTCCCTCCCTACCTGAATGGGTTTTTTCACTCTATACCGAAAAAAAATTTTTTTTTTCTTTTACATCTTTACATGCACTTAGCTACTTCATCAATCTCTGATGATCAGTCTCCGCACGTACCTTCTTCCCGCCCTTTGAAAAAATCACCCAACATCTGGCAACATTCCGATATAGGGTCATCATTCTGGAAGTCTGAAGGCTTTGGGGAATTTCAGCTCTGCAAACTTTAGTTACACAAGTCCATCCCTTTGTTTCAACTTAATTGCGACAAATAAATGATTATAAGTCATTAAATAACCATTATCTTATTGATAATTATTCAATTAATACAAAACGTTTTTTGACTGACTTAATGCCCGAATTAGATAATTTTAATTAATTTATGGGTTGCTTTTGTAAAACTCTACCGTTATATTTCTTCTAAAGGCTGAAAATATTCTTTGGCGGGTCTTAATTGATTTCTGGTGCGTGAAGCAATTAGATGTCAAGATAAATATTTGACATAAAACGTGTGTTTGGAAGATACATAATAATATCAAAATCACTTTATTTATTATCGCAAAGTAATTTAAAAAAATGACAATTACCTACCTAATAATTATTTGTAAAATGGACTTTTTTCTCCAAATTAGAAATATTATTTCCCTAACACAGAAATTAACTTCACCATAATTTCTATTGCCTAAAACGTCAGGTTGCTAACTTAAAGTTAGAATTTTAAAAGAAAAACTGTGACAGCTAGACAATTTTTGAGGTTGATGTTGAATTATAGCCAATATTCCACAAGAGTTAAATGTTAGTTTTTCCATTGCATGAAACTGAAAGTATAATGTGACATTTTAACAGTTTTAGGATAATAGTAGACTAAATGCAATAGTCACATCCGTATATTTTTACGACTTCTTATTGTTTAAACCATAAAAATAAAAAAAGTTGTTAAATAATTCAGTACCTATTGGAAAAATATTGGACAGGGCTAAATAAAAGACTATCAAAACATATACATATGATTTATTTGTGTTTCACTTTTATGTACATCTAAAAAATAATAGAAAAAGATAAGGATAAACATAAGTTAGAACCAAATTAATACAAAAATATTAATAACGTTTACTTAAATTCTTAACAATAGTTTTAGGTCCTATTCTACGCCGAATACAATATTTAACTAAATTTTTCGAAAATTTATTTCTACTTGTATATTGTCCAAAAATCTTATAAACAGATCTTTTAGCTCCTTACCATTCAATCTCTATTAAATGCATTATATAAGTATGTATATTGATAATGAGGTAAGTAAGCAGTAAGATGAGTTTTAGGGGCGCGAAGACCTTGAATAAAATAAAGCTTATCACAATGCAAAATCAACTGTAAAGCCGCTTACCAAAATACATAAACTTCATTCCACTTAATAAAAACAACATAATTATTGCTTTGTAAATCAATCTCATTAAAAAAAAAAAAAACATTCTAAAATAAAACTTAAATGAGGAGATTCTATGGGTTTTTGATTTCAGTAAGGCCCACAGTCCCTGGTTATGGACCAAATGATTAATACTTTAATTTGAAAACCTAAAAATACAATCACAAAACATTCATATTTGGTAGAAAAAAAAATAAATACGAAATTAGGAGATAAAGAAATATTATACATATTTCAAGGATTCTTATTATGTAAAAACCTTTTTATTGGATATCATGGAAACGTAAAATGGCCCTTCCGGATATTTCAGAATGGCAAAGCTTCTCTATAACTTTTGATGCCTCATCAGCAGAAAATTCTGTGTGCGGTGGAGGAACGATATCGCCTGCTGCCACGTATTTGACAAGATTCTGGAGTTGTTCGATAGATCCATTTGCTACAGCCTCAATTTTTTGATTTGTTTGCTGAATAAGTCTGGAGAACTTTGGTAATAGACGATCAGCAACTTCTTCGCTTACCAAAACAACACCTCCCTATGAAAAGAATAAATATGATTTAGTCCTTTTTTAAAGTTTTAATTTATGGTACTTACAGAATTTAAACATTGTAAAGACCTGTGGAGGGATCTTGAAGTAGTACCAAAATCAATAACAATGTCTACCAATCCATTGCAGGCATTTTTAGTTCTCTCGATCAACTGTTTTTCATATAAATCCTCATTCCATTGGACTAAATTTACCCTGAAATATCAATTTTTACTAATTGAAGGGCACAAAAACAATAATTCACTTACCTTTTAAGTTCAGCCGATGTTCTCACGAGTCCTTCATCTTTCAACGTCGCTACTGTAATTGTGACTCTGTCGATATATTCAGGTGCTTTGAAGTGATGTTGGGCGATGCGTAAAGCCCATAATGCCAAACCTCCGGTGCCGACAATCAAAATACGCACAATATGATCAGCGGCACGATCTTCAAATAATTGCATGACATGTTTGTGCGCTGTAACTACAGCATTTTTGGCAAGAAGGGCACCAGTTGGCAGCATAGCAGCAACTCCAAGAGGAAGGTTATCTGGCACTGGCACCAAATAGTCTAGAGATGGAACTACTATGTACTCAGCATATCCGTGAGGGATTCCATCGTAGGGATAAAGTACCACACGAGAACCAACTCTTAGTTCAGTAGAAGATGATGCTTCCGAGCCCAAAGCATCGACGACCCCAGCCACTTCATAGCCAGGGAAGAGAGCGCCGTCTCTAACTCCATGATGAGCAGGAGAATAGGCAGAGTCTTCTACTGAAGAAATACTAGAAACAGAAGGGCTGCGGTTACGTATGCGGTAGCAAGCACCTGCGCAAACAACGCGGATGCGAGCTCCTTCAGCTGGCACTTCTGGCACTGGTACTTCGAAACTGAATACGCAGTCCTTGATTATGGGTCCAGGCGACTCGATCGATACTTGACGACAAAGTTTATTCATGTCGCCAGATCTGGAACAAGAAATAGAGTAGGTAAATAAGCAATAATTTGTTTACAGATAATCATGTCCATTCTATATTGTTATTTACCTATATGGTTTTTATATCATTTGATTTAAAATTTAAATATCCCTAATAATAAATCTTCGATACTGTTTTCTGTTTATAAACTTCAACGAAGCATATATTTATTCTAGAACCAGCAGGCACTGAAAATAATGATTATATAAGCATTCTATAATAATTAGGTAATAATATTTATATATTGCTTTGTTCATAGAGTCGCAATAAATGTTTACCACATTAGTTTTCAATTTCAATGTTTATCTTTACAGAATGGTAAATAACAATTTGAATTATTCAAAAGCACAACCAGTGGCTCTTGATGAAATTAAATATTTTTTTGTTTGCTTTGATAATAAGAGATAAAAGTATACATATTTTGACCCAAGCTATGGGATAAAAAAAGAGCGTTTTTGTACTTTTTCCTTGTGTTGTGTAATCGTGAATAATCTATAGGAGGGTATATTTTGTGAAAAAAAACAGGTGTTTTTAATTCCTGGTCATGTTTTCAGAATTAAGTCTAGGATCGGCAAAAATGTAGCCCAGCAAAATTGGATAGTTTTTCGTGTATGTATCTACATATAGGTTGCGCCCTCACACTCAGTTGCACAACAAACTCTTCACAAAAAAAAAAGAAAACAGAAATTACCAATGACTAAGTATTTAACAAAACTTAAAGAACGAGACAAACTGTACGTGCGATGAAAAATAATACAAAATGAGTTCACTGAAAATCTATATAAAATGTCAAAAAATAGCTTGAATAAATTGAGGATAAAGCTGCAGAAACAATATTCGGAGAAGAAAATACAAGGAGTTCAAGAAGATCGAAGAAAAACATGGGCGATTCTCAATAATTTATGTTGTATAAGCAAAAAAACAAATAAACAAGTGAATAAAATAAGAAATGCAAATGGAGAGATACTCACAGATAATGCAGATATTGCAGCTGCAATAAATGGGCATTTCTCGAGTATAGGAGAAATTCTAGCTTCAAAAATAAACCAGACACAAGGACGTAGGTTTACTGAAGAGGAAGAAAGTAAAAGCATGCCACTACAAAAAAAAAAACGAATCTAGAAGAAATCAAAAAAATAATGTGGGAAATCAAAAACAATAGTGCTCCTGATGGTGTGGACGGTATAACAAAAAGAGACATAGAAACACTTTTCAATGTTATTGCACCAACAATTGTGAAAATAGTTAACGAAGCACTAGATACTTGTCAATACCCTGAGGAGCTTAGACAGGAAAAATAATACCGGTCTACAAAAAAGTGCCCACGATGATGTCAACAACTACTGTCCAATTTCATTGTTGAGTTTTTTTAGTAAAATTCTGGAAAAAGTAATAAAGAAAAGGATAATAGAATTTATTGACTCAAATTTTAGGTTTGATAAAAATCAATTTGGCTTTCAATATCATAGCAGAACAATTGGAGCAACTGTAAACCTTCTTGAGTATGTGACAAGCGAATTGTATATGAATACCTATAATATGTGTGTTTATTGACTTGCAAAAGGCATTTGATACAGTTGATATTGATTCTCGTATTGATTTAATGCTGAAAAAATTTTAAAAACTGGAAATACGAGGCAAATGTCACGATTTGTTAAGAACATACTCTTGTGGCAGAAAACAGTGCACCCAAGTTGATGGAACAGTAAGTGAAGAAGCAAGGGTTAGTGTCGGCATTGCTCAGGATTCTGTACTTGGTCCATTAGAATATCTCTTATATGTACATAATTTAAAGTATGCAGGTCTTACAGCAAAATATGCTAAGTTTTGTGATGACACAGTGTGATTTTGAAGCGCTGGAATATTTTATAATAGAAATTATCAAGAATCTTCCTAAGCGCTCTTTGATACTTTTGCAATTAACTGTTCGAAAATGTTCTGTTTTAAAACATAAAAATAGGTATGTATCAAAAACACGAATATCCACCAAAAATAATAGAGAAAATCGTGAAAAAAAGGCTTGTTAACTACTTAAATGATAACAACATTCTGTCATCAAATCAGTTCGGATTTCAGGAAAGCAAGGGCACAAACGAAGCAGTATTTTCTCTACTCGAAAGGCTTTTCTTTAGGTTGAATGATGGCGAGAGGGCTGCGGCAGTGTTTTGTGACTTCTCAAAGGCATTTGATTGTGTAAGTCATGAAATACTGCTGCGGAAGTTGAGTCATTATGGCGTCCGGGGGAAGGAGCTGAACTGGTTTAAGTCTATCTATCGGGAAGAAGGCAATTTGTAAGAATACCTAACAGGGACGACTCCGAAATTCTGAATGTAATTCGAGGAGTACCACAGGGTTCAGTGCTCGATCCAGTGCTCTTTCTACTGTACATAAACGACCTCGCCTCGCTGTCAATATTGGGAGTTTTTGTGATGTTTGCAGATGATACGACCATTCTCTGGGGACATAAGGATTCGCAGGTTCTTTCAACCATTATAGAGCGTGATTTGGCATTAATAAAGGAATGGTGCGATGCAAACCTTTTAGTCTTTAATGTCTCAAAAACTAATATTATTAAACCTGAAAAGTGCTAACCTTAAAGCCCAATACTTTACCTTCGCTGATGATACAGCACTTGTCTATAGGGGTCACGACAAAAATTATTTAGTACAAACTGTAAATGAAGATCTCGAGACGTATCACAATTGGTTATATTCTAACAATCTAAGGATGAACGTTGATAAAACCAAATACATAGTATTTAGGCAAAGAAATAAAAATATCGACAATCTAGAAATTAAAATTAATAACTCTCCGCTTGAAATACTTGGGCTTAATAGTTGATGAACTTTTAAATTGGCAAATGCATCTCAATAAAATCACGAACAAAATAAATCCTATGTTTCCTATAATGTACAAAAGCCGATCTTATCTTACAAACAAAACAAATTTACAATACATTTTTTCTTACCCACTTCAGATATCTTATACCAATTTGGGGTACATGCACAAAAAGCACCTTTGATGAAATGCAAGTCTTGCAGAATAAAATACTCAAGGTTCTGTTTAACTATGACATTTTGACGCATACACAAACTCTGTATCACGAACTTAATCTTCCAAAGTTGGAACACATTTTAAAATTAGAACAAATTAAATTGATATATAAAATATTAAATAATTTGCAAAAATCCAACACAGAGCTTGTGCATGTAAACGAGATTCACACTCATGATACAAGGTTCCAAGACCAATTCAATTTATTTCAATTTTTTTCAATTTATTAAATAATCATGTATACAAATTTATAAATTTTTACATTTGTCATTTATCATAGATACTAATTTATCAATTAAACAATTAAATAAAACACAGTGTCACAACAGTAGATCAAAGTCAGCAGCAACATCCCTATCCAGAAATTCCCTATAATGATAAAAAATCTGGCCTAACAAATATTTCTTAACTACAGACTTGAATCGCTGAGCTGTCAACTCTCTTACAGAGACAGGCAACTTATTATAAAAGACAGGAGCAAAATAAAGTGTTGGATTCCTTGATGTTCCTAGTCTGAGAAAATTAATCCTAATATTGTCGCGATGTCTGGTATCATGATGGTGTGTTTCACCCAGAGCCGCGAAATTATGCAAATTACGGTGCATGTACAGTAGGCAGTCATAAATGTATTGTGATGGTACTGTTAGAATCTGAAAATCACGATAAAACTGTTTGGGGTCATCTCGATATCCGACATGAGCCAGAACTCTCACTGCCCTCCGCTGCAAACCAAACACTCTAGAGGCATGAGCCGAATGTCCCCAGGCTAACAGAGCATAGCAAATGACGGAATGGACCAGAGCATGGTAGGCCATTAGAGCGACACTCAAATTGGTGGTCCTACACAGATTTCTAAGTACATATATTCCAGATGTAATTTTCTTGGAGATATGGTTTACATGGCACTCGAAAGTAAGTTTGGGGTCAAGCATGACTCCCAGAAATTTTATCTGAGTAGGATTACTGATCTCTTCATCTCGTCTTAAGGTAAAGGTTATATTCTCGGTTTTGGTTTGATTGAGAGAAAGCCCATTGGCAAGAAACCAGTCACCCACACTCTCGGCACAGTCGCTCGCTTCCTCACACAAAGCGTTGAACTCCCCCTTAGCCACCAAGAAGCTGGTATCATCCGCATACAGTGTCACCTCGCTGTGCTGCAGCGCAGATTTTATATCATTTATGTAGATTATGAAAAGCAAAGGTCCTAGTATGGAACCTTGGGGGACCCCATGTAGCATCACCCTACTCTATGAGCTCTCACCATTGACACTTGTTATCTGTCGCCTATCTGTGAGATAGTTTTGTATGAGACTGCAAGCACACCCGGCAACACCATAATACTTCAGTTTGGCCACAAGAGTCCCATGCGAGACACAGTCGAAGGCTTTGGAGAGGTCGCAAAAGGTGGCTCCCACAAACTTGCCCTCCTCAAAGCCCCCGACTATGGCTTCGCACAGTTTGTTAACTGCCATCACTGTGGACCTTCCCCTTCGAAAACCAAATTGATCTGCAGACAGGAGATTGTTTGTTTCAAAGTATTCACATAGCTGGTTTTTAAGAAGCAATTCAAAAATTTTTGATATCACAGGAATAAGTGAAATTGGTCTATAGTTATTTACAGAGCAGCGATCTCCAGTCTTAAAAATTGGTACAGTTTTACTTATTTTGAAAGCATGAGGATAGGTGCAGTCATTAATACAGGCATTAAACAACCTTGTAAGAGGAGAGATCAGCACATCCTTCATAGATTTAATAAGGGTAATATTAAGGTCATAAATATCTTTACTATGTTTATTCTTCAACCAGTCTATTGCATTCCTAACGTCAATATATGTCACCTGTCTAAAAGAGAAGATAAGGTTGGGATCCACAGTACCGGCAATATTTAGGTAAGTATCAAACGGAATAGCCGCCCGCGGCAGGGAATTAACTAACCTGTCCGCAATGTCAGCAAAGAAGTCGTTAAACTCATTTGGTTGAATATCCGGGACAATTGATTTAGATTTCTCTCTGCTAGCATTGATAACATCCCAAGATGCTTTTGCAGTGTTATCTGCATTCCTAATGTAATTTGAATTTGCAGACTTCTTTGCCTCCACAATTGCCCCCCTATAGATACGCCTTGATGCCCTCAACTCACTACGCAGCAGTGGACAGTAAGATTCCTGACACATATCATTCAGCACCTGTATTTCATGCCTCATCACCTGAAGCTGTGGGGTAAACCACTGTACCCCATCTGCCGAGGATTTTTCAGAGCGTCGCTGAACTTCAGGGAATGCAACACCTCTCATAGCTAAAAACTTATCAAAAAACTGATTACATTTATCATTTACAGAAATATCACAATTTAAAAACCCCCAGGTTTCCCCTTCAAGCATATTGTAAAAGAGAAATTTTCCTCGATTGGTTATGGGACGGCAAATACTATTTGTTTTTGGTTTGTATGGTTTTTCAATTAAAAAGTTGACATTCCAAAGAAACTCTATAGCAGAGTGATCTGACAATACAGGGTTAAAAACATTTGATTTAAAATTATTCAGGTAGCTAAAATTTAAAAACAGATTATCAATACAGTGATCTAACCTAGTGCTAGTAAAGATTTGCTGCGCAAAATCGTATGACCCGACAACATCCAAGAAACAATTTTTTTCATTATAATCCCTTTCAAAGTGTATGTTAAAATCGCCTGTAATAATGACATATTTTTTTAAACTAAATATATGATTTAAAACAACATTAATGACATCTACAAACACATTAAAATTTCCATTTGGCGGACGATAGACTACAATAATAATTATATCCAGTTTTAGAAATTCCAGAGCACAAATTTCACAATGTCTCTCAACTGAACAACTCATTATGTTCTCGAGTGGCTTTGTTTCCCATGTTTCATCAGCAAGAATAGCAGCTCCCCCATGTTTATTGGATGCTCTGCAAAAATACGCTCCAACTTTGAAACCCTCTATTTTCAAGAGCTTTATTTCATGTTCCAACATGCAATGTTCTGTAAAACAGAGAATGTTGTACCTGTTTTTATTGTCCTTTAGAAAAGCTTCTATTTCCCCAACCTTATTTCGAACTGACCATATGTTTATATAGAAAAGGCAGAAATTTGATTTGGGTTTATCGTTGTTTGAACTCAAGGCATTTGTGTTCTCGCTTTTAGCTGTTTGTACCCAGTTGGTGTCGCTCTCTATAAAAAACTACCCGCATTTTGTAAAAAGTCTTTATGTTTTGCAAATATGAACCGTTTTATACCTACTTGGAGAGGCCAAAAATTTTGATCGTACAATTCATCTTTACGGTTCAGGGGCGCAGTCAAAACAAAGCATTTTAGGTTGTATTATAGCATTTTAGGTTGTATTGTATATAATTGTATATAATTGCATGTAACACAGAGTAGAACAAACATAGGTCTATACAACCCAATAACAAGTGCAATCAGGGCATACAATGAATTACCAGAAAACATTAAGACTATAGTCCCCTTTAATAGGTTTAAGTATAGGTTAGAATTGTATCTAAAAGCTCATTAATTAACCATATGTAACTATAAAAGTGATATTGTATTATGTTCCTAAGCCAACCTTAACACTGTGCTAAACGTAGTAAGAGACTCTCGAGACCAATACTTTTGTACTGATTCGAGATCATAAATTGTTATGTAATTCAAGAATTTAAATAAAGTTATTTTTCAAAAAAAAAAAAAAAATATTTTAATGTTTAAATGTTCATTGGATGGTATCACTCTTGATGGAGACACTATTAGGGAAAAAAATGTTGTAAGGTTTCTTGGGATGCACGTAGATTCGAGGTTAAGATTTGAAACACATATCGATATGCTTAATAGAAAACTTTTACAGGGATGCTACATGGTTAAAAACATATTGCAAGAGCTCGGAAAACACACCGCCAAAACTGCATATTACGCCTTGATGGAGTCACATGTTAGATATGGAATCGCATTCTGGGGATTCTCAACCCAGACATCCGTTCAGGCAGTGTTTGTCTCACAGAAAAGAGCCCTCAGAACTTTATGCGAGGCAGCTTACCGACAAACCTGCAAACCCCTCTTTGTTCAAGAACGGATCTTGACAGTGCCGTCAATTTTCATTCTGGAGACGGCCTGCTTGATTTTCACAAAGTTTCAGCAGAACTATGATAGGGTTGAGAGCTATAGTTTAAGAAACAACAGCAATTTATCTCTACCAATCCCGAAATCTGCATTGGTGAAACATTCAATAGTTTATGAGGGAATCAAAATTTTCAATCATCTGCCAAGGGAACTTAAAAACATTGAACAGTACAAACTCTTTCAAAAAAAAACTTAAAGCATTCCTAATTGAAAAAGCTTATTATAGCCTGGGAGAGTTTTACGAATGACAGCGTTTTGTTTATGATTCCAAAATTTATTTGTAGCTATTATACATATTATCTTAGAGTTTTATAAGACGGATTATGTTACTATATTTTAAAGTTTTTATTTATTTTATTTTATTCTATTTTATTTTATTGTGTTTTATTATTGTTTTTTTATTTGCTTGTGTGATTTCCCATTTTGAATTTGTTGTTTGTTATTTCTAATTTGTTTGTTATTTTAATCTTTTAACCATTTTCAGTGATATTTATGATATACGTAGTAAACAATTTTGCTGAAGGCTTCTTTCATGACTAGTGTCACGAAGCGCTTACCTAAATTGTTATTGTTATTTTAGACAGAACTTATTATGAAATTTTATTACCTGCCTTTTATGTATAGTTTTTAGGACTTACTTTGTACCTTTTGCTTTGTCAGTTATTTTGTTAAGAATTAGGACAATAAAGCTTTATTGAATTGAACATCAAAAATCCCAAACCAAAAATCCAATTCTCTAGCGGGCACCAACCTATGAACTTTTTTTTTCTTAAAAAAGATAAGTACAAAAAACATTTATTATTTTTGAATTTCAGTATACAAGGGCATATAATTTAGACTGTGTATATTTGAGGCAGACAACAACAACCAAAAATAATGTGCAAAACTAGTTTTTTGTAAGTCCCGAAATGTTCTCGAATGGCCAAATCGAACCGCCACTGACTGATGAAGTTAAAAAAAAAAACAAATAAACACAGAGAACAATAGGCTGTCGTTAAACCAGATGAGGATTCAATTTACCGGTTGTTGCCAGGCTTGCAACCAAAAAATCCACATCAAGATCGTTAATCAAAGTTCAATTTAATTCAATACAAATTTTAAATTAGTTTCAATCTAAGGTTTGAATGATTTTCTATAATAATATAAATGCTATAATAAGACCAGATGAGGATATAAGGTGGTATAATTTTTTGTGTATTTACTTCTCTATACCTACCTACCGAAAAAGTCAAATAGCAAAACAATTTGAAAAAGAAAACTCAATCAAGAGAACAACCAATGAATATCATGATCTCATAGCATTTAATTATAATCAATTAGCTTGTCAAAGATTTTCAAGTGTCCTGAATAATCGTATATCTAGGTATAGTATACCTATGTATAGGTATGTATAAGGTCAATAAAATATAACATGAATAAAATAAACGAATTTATATATTATATATAATTTTTATATGTACCTATATAAAAATTTATATTGGATTAGTGTGCTTTGATAATAAGATTGTATTGGTCTCCATTCAATAAAACTGTTTTTGATTTTTAATTTGAACATACCTACTTAAATAAGGCAAGAGCCCAAAAAAAAAAATATTAGGTATATATATTGAAAAAAACAAACAAGAAAAATACAATGTTATCATGTGGAAAAACTTACCCAGACAAAGAATTGTTGAAATCCGCCAAAGCACTTTCAGTTAACATAATTAATGCCTAAATATGAAAATTATAAAAATCGGCACACCCTTGAAAAATTCGAATAAAAAAAAAAATCCCCAAACACTTTTTATCCTTAGAAGTTTCTCGCGATGCGTTTCACGAAACACTAACCTGGGTACTGAATCCGTACGTCTATTTACGGAACATTAACCAGCTTGCTTTCAGTAGGTTGCACGTGCACTCTACATGATAAATACATGCACATGATAAAAGCACAGTTCGTTCAACCAAAGTTTGTTCAGTGTAGAGTCGTTCCAGTTCAGCTTTTGTTACGTGCCATCGGGACAAGGTTGCCAGCTGGTGCGTTTAACCCATGCAAAAAGATACTTCAGGGTAAAAAAAAATAGCTGAAAATTCGATTTCGAAAAGTTAGTTTCGATAAAAAAACATAATTTTCAATACAACCATACAACTTGAAATCGTTAATCCAAATATGACCTATTAGACATTAGTTATGCCGGCCTTGCGGAAGCACGGTTGCCTTTGGGAATTACGGTTTATAGGTAGGTACTAATTCTGAAAATAGAGATTAGGAAAAGTGCTCCTAACTAATTTAAGTTTTATGGGGGTATAGCTCTTCCGCTCTAAATTTAAAGGATGTGAAAAAAAATAAAAATACATAAAATTTATTTCACACAACTTGGCTTTATCTACTTGTATGTAATAATTTATTTGAACAATACATTTTATTGGCGCGACAAAAGTAAAGCAACTTTTTTATTTTTTCCAAAAAGAAGGGATTTGAATTTCGGGTATGATCAAAAACATATTTTTAGGAGTAAGATTATTCCTCTTATTGACAGATTCGAATATGCCAAAAGGTAAACCAATTTGTCTGCAGTTGAAACAAATGGTAGTAGTCGCTTTCTTGGAAAGACGGCGTTTGGTTGACATTTCCAGGCTGTTTCTTTTGCCAAAATACAGTGCATCTAAAATAATTCCACGTTTCAATGAACGTGGACATGTAAAAAAAATGCCAAAATCAGGAAGTGATGATTTTATTGCATTCAAGTGGGGAAAAATTCATAATTCCATTTCTGAGTCTGAGATCCATTCGCGGTTTCTTCTGTTTGATAAAAAGATCCTACTTAATAAATCCTGAAAGTTTGAAGTCCCTCTGATTGCTTGAGGAATTTTTCAAAAGCTTTCAAAGGTGATTTAATAGAAATTTTACATGATTTTTTTGCATTTAAGTGAGAAAAAATTCATAATTTCATTTCTGAGCGAGATCGATTCGCAATTTGTTTTGTATGATGAAAAGACTTTACGGAATAAATCCTAGAAGTTTGAAGTACCTACCTCTGATTTCTTGAAGTAGGTACTTATTTTTCAGAAGCTTTCAAATGTGTTTAATAGAAATTTTACATGATTTTATTGCATTTAAGTGAGAAAAAAAATCATAGTTCCCTTTCTGGGTCTGAAATCCGTTCGGGGTTTTTTCTGTTTGATAAAAAGACCCTACTTAATAAATCCTGAAAGTTTGAAGTCCCTCTGATTGCTCGAAGGATTTTTCAGAAGCTTCCAAAGATGATTTAATAGAAATTTCACATGATTCTTCTAAGTCTGAGACTCATTCGCGATTTGCTCTGATAGATAATAAGACCCTACTCAATAATTTCCGAAAGTTTGAAATCCCCCTGATTGCTTAAAGTATTTTTTCTATTTTGGTGTCATTTCGAAGTCTTTTCGTCACTAAAAGTAGTTTCGAAAAGAAGCTCTTTGTGACACTCCTTTTTTACTTATCGGAGGTTGGTAATACTGGCTGACTATGGCCATCAAACTGTCATTTGCGATAAAAAATAATAGAAGATTTCTATATTTGGCATGTAGTGTTACCAACCTAAATATATGAAATCGAAATATGAGAATAAAATTTCCAAGAAATAGTATATTAAAGTATAAGTGGATATTAAGGTCTTTAAAACACGCTCGATTTTTCGAGCACGACGGCGCAGCCGGAGTGCTCGAAATAGAGCAAGTGTTTTAAAGACCAGTTATCCACGAATACTTTACACTATTTTTTTTTATTGGTATACGTTTAATCAAATCATAAATTACTAATAATTGTAAAATGCTTAATTCGTGCTTGACGCTTGTTATATTTTATTTGACGTTATCTACAAGTACCTACTCCTGACAAGTCAATAATTAAAAAGTTGACATTTAGACCTTTCTCGGGTTGTTGGTTGTTGATGTTGTCATTGGTAACTTTAAAACACGCGCGTTTTTGAATGTTGGATTTAAACACGCTGAGGAGTACTTTAAATAAGTGAAAAAGGTTATCAATAAAAAAAAAATATATTTTTTTTAATTAAACAATACCAAAATAGAAAAAATAGTATAAAATATTCGTTTCATAAGACATTTTATCGCACTCGCCCTTTAGAAAACTCGCCTCCGGCTCGTTTTCTAATATAGGGCTCGTGCGATAAAATGACGTCTTATGAAACTTGTATTTTAATGTACTATTTTCTATTTTGGTGTCATATCGGAGTCTTTTCGACACTAAAAGTAGTTTCGAAAAGAAGCTCTTTGTGACACTCCTTTTTTACTTATCGGAGGTTGGTAGCACTGGCTGATTGATGGCCATCGAACTGTCATTCACGATAAAAAATAGAAGATTTCTATATTTGGCATGTAGTGTTACCAACCTAAACATATTGAATCAGGAAATATGAGAATAAAATTTCCAAGAAAAGTTTTTTTTTTTTAAATTAAACAATACCAAAATAGAAAAAATAGTATAAAATATTCGTTTCATAAGACATTTTATGAAACTTGTATTTTAATGTACTATTTCGAAAGCTTCCAAAGATGATTGAATATAAATTTTAAATGATTTTTTTTTTGCATCCAAGTGAGAAACAATTCATAAATTCATTTTTGAGCTTCGATCCCATTGTCCATGAATTTCCTATGGAAACCAATTTCCCGTAATTAACAAAAAAATGAATTTGTCCATTAGGCTTTTATAATTATTGACAAGTTGTGCATCTAAAAACGAGATCTGTAATTTCATGCTAGATGACGCAAAAAATACAGGAGATAAAATTGTGTACTTATCATAAACTAAAACAATAAATTACAGTAGTTGCACTGTAATCAGGGATTTATTTTATGACATTGTTTACTATTGTCGTTTCTCAAATTATTTTCAATTTGTAAAATCGATTCTATGGTATAAATTATCCATTACTGGAATTATTTATATTTGATGCATGCTAATTTTTTATAGGTATATCATGATTGTCGTGCGTGATTATCATTCTAATTGCCTAAAATAAATAAAAACAGAATAATTTATGAAATCATCAAAAATTTATTGAAAAAAAAAACAGGCACGAGCTAAAGGCATTAAATGAGAAATTTGCGCCATAAAGTCTTGGCGTGAATTACAAAATTAAGCTTGGTGGCTCGTGCTCACATAAAATGAACTTTTTGGTAAGAACTTGCTGTGATGAAACATGGTAATATAAGTCCTAATAGTGTCAAATCAATTCCACATGCAAAGATCATGGCTCCTTAGATACACAAATCAATCAACTCTTGATTATATAAAATCCGCTTTAGATCTTATATCTATTGTACTGATAGGTATTTATGTTTTCGCAAAACTCCTATTCATGAATAATCATTATCAGGTAACAACAAGGTGAGAATCATGTTGGCAAATATTTTTTGCTCTTACATTATCACTTCTTAAAATAGATACATAATATGTAGGGTTACTTTGGTTTAATGTGTTAAGCCATTGTGCATTACTATGTATGAGGAAAATTACAATATTCTGAATATTTTTTATCGATTTGAACAATGCTAAAATGCACATGCAGAAAACTTTCAACGCCGACTCATTCAATAAAGGAATACTTTAATAATTTATGGGTTAAGGAATAGGCTTGGAGTCATGCACAAATAGCATGATGCCTTTAAAATTCTAAACCGTATTTATTAACCTCAGGCTATTTATAGTTTTTATTGTTTGGGTTACCATAATCACATACAGCCTAACTAATTTCGTTGTAGTTTCACTGCAATTAATAATTAACTAGTTTTTTTTGAATCAATTGATAGTAAGCAATTTAGCTGATGATTACTACACCTTTTTCAAATAATGTAATTCAGAAAATCTCACTTGTAATTCAAATTTTTCAAATGTAATTCAGAAAATCTTACTTCTAATTTAGATTTTTCAAATGTAATTCAGAAAATCTCAACTGAAATTCAGAAAACTGCATTTGTAATCCAGACTTTTCAAATGTAATTTAGAAAATTTCGTTTATATTTCAGAACACCTCAACTGAAAGTCAGAAAAATTGGTTGGTTTAAAATGTATAGAACAATGTAATTAAACATTCCTTTGTTCACAGTTTAGAAACCCTGTAGCTATCTATGTATGTACAGGGTATTTGATTATATTTGGACCCATACCTACAGCATTTACTATTTAAGATAGAAATTTTTTTTAAATACAATACTTGATAGTTTTTTTCTATATTTTCTTTTAACGTTATCAGAAAAAACAAAGTCGCATCGGAAAATGGAGAAACGTAGGCAACTTCGACTTTTTTCAATGGAACACCCTGTATATTTTGCGATAAAATGAAAGATCTTTTCTCCCTGATTCCAAATTGTACTTGTATAGATCACATTTGCATGGGCCATTTTTGACATAGCTTAAATTATAAATAAATTGCTAAGAAATTTTATGAAGATAGAGATCCTCATAGAATTTCTCTGCAAATTATTTATAATTTAACCTGAGATATCTCAGAAATTCCTCACGCAAATGTGATCAATATACAGTGTGTTCCACTTTTCATGAATACACACCGATATCTCAGTTATTAATAATGCTATTTTATTCAAATTTTGGTGATGTATTCATGAAAAGCGGGACACATTGTATATATTTGAAATCAGAAAGAATAGATTTTTCATTTTATCGCATAATATACAGGGTGTTCCATAAGATGTCCGAATTATTGACAGATTCAACGTGATCATGGAGTTCTGGGAGAGCTAAAATCAAAGTCAGGGTCAAGCTTGAACAAAAAAAGTTGTTAAACTGGCGGGTAAACAAGCTTGACTGTCATCAATTGAGAGGGCAGAAAAAGGCATGAAATGGGCATAAAGATAAATATAGGAAAAACAAAAGTGATGATGAATGATACGATACGTCTATTCA